GAACTCTGGGAGTTGAAGTCCACAAGTTGAAGTTGGAAGCTTTGCTGGCTGGGGAACTCTGGGAGTTGAAGTCCACAAGTTGAAGTTGGAAGCTTTGCTGGCTGGGGAACTCTGGGAGTTGAAGTCCACAAGTCTTAAAAGTTGCCAAGGTTGGAGGCCGCTGTGTTAGAAGACACCAACTCTGGTCCTTCTATCTCCCCAACCTCTCCCAACTTGATGCCTTCCTGGAGAGTTGGATTGTGGGCTTGAAGTTCTGTTTTCCGGTCCAGAGAGGACTCGGCTTTTACTCCTTGGAGACCGAGCTCTGAGCAGAGGGGAGGGTGAGAGTGGGCAGCTTATGAGGGTACAAGAGCAGTTTCTCCTGGAGCTTTTTGGGGGGGAGGGGGTCTGCCTCTCCCTCCACTCTTCTCCCACATGCTGGTTTGTCCACTTGCATCAACAGCCCAAAAGTCTGTCTGGTGGCAAGAGTAGCACAGCACAGCCTTGGGAAGACCACCTTGCCCTTTGAGAACAGGTGCTGCTCGCTCCCCCACAGCCCACCTGCCGTGGTTCCCATGCCTCCAGCTTTGCTGGCTGAGGAACTCTGGGAGTTGAAGTCCACAGGTCTTAAAGTTGCCAAGGTTGGAGACCACTGCTTTAGTGCACTGGCTGTAAACCCAGCCTCCCAGGGTGGGCAGCTGCAGGCAGGCACAGGGCCACAGCACAGCCTGTGGGGTCTCCAACCTTCCCCTCTGCGCTTGTAGATTTCTTCCTTTACTCCCCTCTGTCAACCATGGTTTTAAGGGTGCAAAGATGGGGCCTGCAGGGAGGGGAGAGTGGGAGAGGCTAAAGCAGAACCAGGTTTGCCTATGGTTGTACACAAGCAATGCTAAAAGTAGGGTGTGACCAGGACCCCCTCCCCAATTTAAAAACCAGGGCTGCCCCACTCTGCTCAAGAACAGGCTGACACCCCCACCCACCCCATCACAACGGATTCTGCTCACCACCACAGCATTTCCAGAACCATTTCTAAATGTGCAAACTGGGGTGCTTTAAAAGAAGTGAGGCCCTTGCAAAATCGTTGGCCAGTTAGGTGGCCAAATCTAGCAAAAGGGGAGAACTGGGGAGTGGGAGGTGGGACTCACCAGGGGCCCTGGCCCAAATGGGTCTGGAAGACGGGCTCTGCCTTAACCACTTCATTAGCAACCGGTTGCTGAAAAGAGCACCAGCCCAGCGCTGAGATTTTGATAGTCAAGACTGAGGATTTGAGCTCTTTCTCAGCACGCTGGCTTGTCAGAGGAGCTGAGAAAAAATTAGAAATGGAAGCTCAGAAGGATGGGGAGGGGACGGGGGGGCAAGGAGGCCGGTCCGAGTCCCAAACTCATGGGGGTTCGTAGCCTTGTGCTAGTTCCAGTCTTTTAGATTCACAAGCCTTTTAAGTGGGGTTTTTCCATGCTGCACAAGCCCCCCCCCCTGTCTGATGCTGAAGGAGGCGGAAGGAATGCAACTGGGGAGGGGGATGCAGGAGTTCCCCCCCCCCCGCTCAAGAGCCAGCCACGCGAGGAGATATGGCCAAGGGATGAGGGCGGGGGGAGCAGCCACGGATTGCCCACCTCCACCTGGCTGCAGAGCTGATCCCCCATCCGGAGGGGACCCCCATCATCTCCCCTCTGCCTCTCTCGTCTCTTCCCCTCCGCCGAGACAAAACGAGGCCCACGGAGGTGGCAATTAGCTACCTGATCTAATTACTGTAATTGCCGATACAGATTATCCGTACAAATGGCAGATAATAAGACAAATTTCTTGCCTCCCGCGCTTCCGAGTGTGGTGGGGAAGGACGCCTTCCCTTCCGGGCCTCCCGTAACAACTGCTCCGAAAAGCAGAAGCCCAACTGGTAAAGCCAGGGGATGAACCAGGACAAGGGGAAGGGGGGGGGGGGACCTTGCGTCACTGCAAATACAGGGAGTCCTCGACTTAACAACCATTTTGTTTAGCGACCCTTCGAAGTTACGACAGCCCTGAAAAAAGCGAGCGGCGGCTGTTTTTTCACACGGCGGTTGCAGCTTTCCCAGGGTCACGTGATGGAAACTCAAACGCTTGGCAACTGACATGGACTTATGACGGTTCTAGGCTTCCCCGGGTCACGCGGTCCCCACCTTCTGGCAAGCAGAGTCACCCCGCAACGGTGTCGCTCACTTAACGACTGCAGTGATGCATTTGGCAAGCGTGGCAAGAAAGGTCTTAAAGTGGGGCAAAAGAGCTTTCCTCCCACCGCAGGAGCAATTTTGGTTGTAGGTCGAGGACTACAAGCACTGCAAAACCTGGGCTGCCACATTCCCAAGAAGGGAGGCAAGGAAGGAGGCATTTAGGCAGTGTTTCTCAACCTTGTCAACTTGAAGATGTCTGGACGTCAACTCCCAGAATTCCCCAGCAGTGGTTAGGACAGTGTTTCTCAACCTTGTCAACTTGAAGATGTCTGGACGTCAACTCCCAGAATTCCCCAGCAGTGGTTAGGACAGTGTTTCTCAACCTTGTCAACTTGAAGATGTCCGGACGTCAACTCCCAGAATTCCCCAGCAGTGGTTAGGACAGTGTTTCTCAACCTTGTCAACTTGAAGATGTCCGGACGTCAACTCCCAGAATTCCCCAGCAGTGGTTAGGACAGTGTTTCTCAACCTTGTCAACTTGAAGATGTCCGGACGTCAAC